CAGTGCACCTGGGTGGCTCAGTTGGTTAAGCATCCAACTTCGGCTCGGGTCATGATCTTGTGGTCTGTGAGTTCAAGCCCCACCATGGGCTCTATGCTGACAGCTCAGAGCCTGGGGCCTGCTTCTGATTCTGTGTCTCCCTTGCTCTCTGCCCCTCCCCCATTTGCACTTTGTCTCTCTCAAAAATAAACATTAAAAATTTTTTTAAATAAAAAATAAATAAAGCATTAAAAGAAAAAAAAAAGAAAAGAAAAGAAAGAAAAGAAGGAAGGAAGAAAGGAAGAAAGGAAGGAAGAAAGACAGTGGTCTCGTGGCAAGCATGTGTCCCCTCACCCAATATGGATCAAGGCCCTCCCACGGGTGGGAGTCTGTACTTGGTGCTAAAGACAAAGTGAAGCATAGGGAAGTGCTGCCCCCTGATCCCGGCTCTAGAAGCCATGGGAGAGAGAGACACTAAAGAGATGATGACAGTGACAGTTCTCCAGAACCTTAGTTCCCCTACATGAAAATTCTAGCATATTATCTTAGGAATTCCAGTCCCAAGGGAGAGAGCAAGGAAACTGGGAGCTTCCCTTAGGAGGGAGAGAAGTGGAGACGTTTATCAGAAAGGCTACCAGAAAGTACGTGCATGAAGTTATCACAGTCAGAGCCAAGGCTAAATGATCTTGTGTACCAGAGGAAGAAGTTGATATACATCTACACAGCTAGGCTTCTCAATTCTCCAAGCTATTTGGAATAAGCGAGAGCTGGATGTCAGCAGCCAATAGCTCTAAATACAAAATCAGAAAAGCTTTGAACATTTGGGTGTCAAAGCAGGCAGAAGGCAAATCCATTTTATTGGGCATACTCATTTTATTTTTTATTTTTTTAAACATTTTTTTTTCAACGTTTATTTATTTTTGGGACAGAGAGAGACAGAGCATGAACGGGGGAGGGGCAGAGAGAGAGAGGGAGACACAGAATCGGAAACAGGCTCCAGGCTCTGAGCCATCAGCCCAGAGCCCGACGCGGGGCTCGAACTCACGGACCGCGAGATCGTGACCTGGCTGAAGTCGGACGCTTAACCGACTGCGCCACCCAGGCGCCCCTGGGCATACTCATTTATAAGAAAGTGACATTTTTGCCTTTAAGCATTCCACTGAAATATTGAGGAAGGGAGGGCTTAAAGATTTTTCTCTTAACAACTGGATGTTAATCACACAATGTACATTACTACTCATGCAGAAAGTATAAATGTCGTTAGTATTCTCTTGATCTAAGATGTGATCTTTATTATTTTATTTTAGTAGATGTAACAAAATAGAGTCACTTAAACTACTTTCCAATTTGTATTTTCATATAAGGTGTTAAACTACTAACTATTGGATTCTCTAGGGATTTTCTGATGCCTATGTTACATAGTTGGAGAGAAATCTTAGGATAGATACTATTGGAGAACAAAGAAAGGCAACCCCCTGTTGACCTGGGGCATTCAAAGGTGTCTTCTCAGGAGATGATTTTTTAAGCTGGGTCTTGAAAGATAGAGATGATATTAGCCAGGAGACTATGATGGAGATCAGGTCCTTTTCACAACTGGGTCCTTGTCATGGTCTTCACAAGACCATTCTGCCCTTACCTGGCTGTGTTTTCAATTTAAGAGAGAGTTGAATGGGGCATCAGAGAATAATAAAAATATTAACAACCCACCCCTGCTTACATAATCTCATTTGAGCTTCATGAGACCTTATGGATAAATGCAAAGAGTTCAACTTATAAATGAGGAAACGGAGGCCCAAAGAAGTTGAACAACTTGTCTAAAATCATGCAGGTAATAAGTAATACAGCCAGGATTTCTCCTAGGTCTACAATGCTCGCACATGTATATATCAATACTAGGTCACTATTACCCTACGCACATCAGAAGGAATATACCATATTGGCACGGATGTAATCTATTATGAGCAGAAGGAGACTGGATAATATTTGGAACTATTTTAGAATGGAAAAATCCATTATTTGAAATCTTAAAAAAATATATTTTGACGCAAATGACTCCAATAAACGACAGTAAACAGGGCAAGGGGGGAAAGAGACAGGGCCAATGCCACCATTACATATTTAGAGTCATATTTGTTGAGCCAACTTTTACAAACCAACAAAAAGGAAAAAGTCAAGAGAGCATCAGAAATCGATAACACAATTTTAGTGTTAGCTGCATTTAAGTGAGACAGCTCTGACTCATTCAACATGTGATGTCAGGCCAAGCAGGTTTCAAGGGGCAAAAATGTATTTTGGGGAAAAGTGGAAAAAGGAATGATAAATTTGAAAAGACCACATCTTGGTAATGTATCCCTGTGATGGGGATGAAAGAAATCATGAAGGACCTTCTCAGAACCCTGAGGAACCTGTACTCTTTCTTAAATCTCCAGAGCAGGACAGAGCATGCCTCGCCCTATAGGAAGCCAAGGCCATATGCAAATCACTGGCAAACAAGTGGAAGATGGACACTGGGAAGTCAGAAATTTTAGGGACCAAAACAAGAGTCCTTAAAGCCCCAGTGCCTTTAATCCCTGCAGACAAGGAATGATCTAGAAAAAGAAATGACATAGAAAAAGAAGGAACTATTTAACTGCCAAGAAAAGGAGGGTTTCTGATGGTTTTTGGTGGTCCAATCCACAGTTTAATAATACTTGACCTCAGAAAGGGTCTTCTGTTATATTAACTTAATCCCATGTTTACAATTAATATATAATTTAAGCAACTACCCTGTGGTTGGAGTCCTTACTTTTTCTTTTCTCATTCTTTATCTTCTTGAGCTAACATCTATGGCAGGACTCCCTGGGTATTGTTGTTGGGAGACAGGACTGGCATATCACATGACTGATGTTGCTGTTCTACTTTGGGAGGCATAATTTGACCCAGAACTCTCTGGAGCCATGCAACAAAAGATCAGTGTAGGTTTTGTTTTGTTCTATTTGTATTTGTTATCATTTTTGGTGGGAAGGATGCTTCATCCAACAATATTCATGAGTTCGTTCCTTAAATTATAAAAATCTCTGTTACGAATATGAATTGCTGACTATTATTTCTCCCTGCAGATTCCACAGAGCATAGAAAAAAGTGTTATGATGGGCTATGAGATTCCAACAGGCCAGAGAAGATGGGCTCTAGGGCAAAAGATATGTGCACACTGCTCGGTTTATAGCAAAATTTATAGCAAGTTCTAAGGCTGTGACTTCCAGGAACAGGGATCCCTGTGCAGGAGGAAATTTAGAATGGGCCCTTGGCTTCCTCAGAATGAACCAAGCTTAAGTCATCGCTGGCTCTCAGAGTGCCCTTCAGCTGTAAATCTGCAAAAGGTCGCGGCAACTTAACTGTATCAACAGCTGTCTGGGTTATTGCATCCATAAACTCAATGTCCGTGCAATGCCTCTGGACTGACAGACCCAGCCATTGGCAACGGTAACCGCAGGCCACACAACTCCTTACTTTCTAAGCTGTTCAGGCTTCCCATCTCCAACACTTTCTTGTTAGATAACTGGGACCTTGGGGTGTCATGAAATAACCAATTTTCTTTTGAAATTCCTTCTTTCTTCTTTACCTAGAAAGGGGCAAATCCACCCATGCTCTTGGTGTAGGCTCTTAGGAGACTGGGAATGATTCATCTCCGCTACAAAATGAAGTGTTTTACAGGATATGAAATACTGTTGTGCAACAAGAAAGCCGCTAGATTGTTTATTCTCCTTCACTTTATTGAGTTTTTTAAATACAAAAGTTATCCATGCTTGTCATTACAAATCAGACAGGGAGGAAGGTGACATTCGACAGTGGTGTCCTCTCTCCACCCCCACCCATCACCCTGCAGTCAGGTGTGTCCTAGTCTGGTGTGCATCCTTTCATGCCATTCTAGAAGCACGTCTGCACGCATTCCAGCCTACCTACACGGACAGCACAAAGCTCGAGTTCTGACCTCTTCTGTGGGCCTCTCCCACCTTCTCAGCTGGAAACCAGGCTTTTAATCCTTTCTTCTTCCTAAGCATTTCTACCATGCTCAGAGTTTCTGGAGTAGCCATCACTCAGTCTGCTGGGGAAATGGGATGAAGCGTAGTGGACGAGACATAGTCCTGGGCTCCCTGGGTCAGTGTTCTCTGCTTCCTGAGGGACCAGTGGTCAAATAAATGGGGTCATTGAGTCTCTCTCTGGTCTGAGCTTGTCAAAGGTGTGAGGGTTGATGCAATGAGATACCTGTGTTGACCCTGGTGCAAAAAGCAGACTCTGGAGACATCCGACCAAGCAGGAGAAGCTGGGGAGAAGATGGTTGTTCTCCTTTGATAGCTGGTTCTGGAATATTCTGCAACAGTGAGTGGATTTTTCAGGACTCTTACTTCTCCTCCTTGGCCTCCTGCTGAGGACAGTGTCAGGGCTCATTAGCACTTCCACTAGAGGCGAGCCCTTGCTGCGAGAAGAGGTGAGAGCAGTCAATTTTGCCACTCATTAGCAACTCTGGACAGATACTGGTGGGAAGATTGACCCCATTGGCAAAATTAGAGTCTGCTTCTCTGGGGGCACAGCTATCCATCTAGTCCTTTTGCCATCCACATGTCACCCAGAGTTGACTATCTGCTGGTCTCACAGAGCAATAAACAAGACAGTATTTTTTAAGGTGTTAGTCACTTTATATAGTACAATAACTCTATGAATCGCCAGTGTTGTGATCCTCAATGTAATGGTGAGAAGGCAGGAGGAAGACTCTCTAAAGTAAACCAGATACCACGACCATCCTGGTACCTCACTGCTCTGACCTAAAGAGTAAGGATTGGGGGGCGCCTGGGAGGTGCAGTTGGTTAAGCGACCGACTCTTGATTTTGGCTCGGGTCATGATCTCACGATTTGTGAGATCGTGCACTACATCAGGCTCTGTGCTGACAGCATGGAACTTGCTTGGGATTCTCCCTGTCCTCTCTCTCTCTGCCCCTCCCTCCCACACACACACACACACACACACACACACACACTCTCTCTCTCTCTCTCTCTCTTTCTTCCTCACAATAAATAAGTAAACATTGAAAAAAAAGAGTAAGGATTGAATTTGAAACAGTTTGGGCTGCTTCAGATTTATTCACGTGCCCCACAAGATCCCACTCTGATCAGACTGCCATGATATTTGTACAATAATTTATAGTGTGCAAAGCACTTTAGCAGGTCCTTCAATTCTTACCACAACTCTGTCAGGTCATGACTTTTATCTTTATCTCACGGACAAAGGAAGATCATAGTAGTTGGAACTGAGTTGCCCAAGGTCAAGCCCAGGGCTCTTTCCCTGAAACCAAAGTACATATATTGAGATATACCAGGACTTAATAAACAGAGAGAGGAAGGGCCTCTCTTAACATTGTTTGATGACATGAGGAATGAAAGGAATACAAAGGAAATCAAAGTGCACCCCTGTCCTCTAAAGGTGAACATCATACCTCAGTAAGATTGGTCATCCAGGGTGCAGGTGGACCGTTGAGCCAGCTACTGTTGAACCAGCTAAATTAGGTGGTAAGGATTTCTTTTTCTTGCCTAGTCATCTTTGAAACATTGACTGGTTTTCATACAATGTAGCTCCTCATGCTACATGAATGAAGGCAGAGGACATTTTGTTAAGTGGAAAATGCCAGACGCAAAAGGGCAAGTACTATCTGATGTCACTTACCTGAGGGATCTTGAGTAGACACACTCATAGAAAGTGGAGCAGAGATGACCAGGGGCTGGGGTAGGGGGAATCAGGGGTTATGGTTTAATGGGTACAGAGTTCGAGATAGTGCCAAAGTTCTGGAAATGGATAACAGTGAGGGTTGCACAACATTGTAAATGTGATTAATGCATTGAATTGTACACTTAAAAATGGTCAAAATGGGGGTGCCTGGTGGCTCAGTTGGTTAAGCGTCTGACTCTTGATTAAGGCTCAGGCCATGATCTCATGGTTCCTGAGTTCCAGCCCCACATCAGGCTCTGTGCTAATTGTGTGGTGCCTGCTTGGGATTCTCTCTCTCTCCTTCTTTCTTTTCCCCTCCCCTGCTTGCTCTGTCTCTCTCAAAAATAAATAAATAAACTTAAAAAATTGTTCAAGTGATAAGTTTTATGTTACGTATATGTCACTATAATTTTTTAAAAGAAAAAACTTACAAAAATGTAGTTTGATGCAAAAAAACTTGACTTGAAGATTCTTCACAAAACATATCTATGGCAAAATCTGTGCTGCAAATGAGTTGAACTACTTCCTTTTCTGGTTGAGCAAACACTTTGTTTTTAAAATATTTCCCCCAAGGTTTTTTTTTTTTTTTCTATTAGCTATTTTGTTTGTTTTCTTCTGTTTCTGTTTCTCACCTCAGACAAAAAGCTCTTTTGAGTTCATAGAATTACAGGTAGTTAGGTAGTTCCTCTGAAGAGAATCATTTTCTCTTCGCTAAGTGATCATTTTTTTATATTAAAACAAGTGATGGTTAGAAAACGAGTTGAAATTTCCACATGATTAGAAGCAAATGTCTCATTAGGAACTTAACCAAGTTTGGGAGACCTTTTATAAAATACCTGAGGATTGAATCACTATATCGTATACCTGAAACTAATATAACACTATACCTTAATTATACTAGAATGTAAAAAAATAAATTAAAAAAAAAAAACCTGAGGAGAAACTGGAGGCACCACAACATTTTTTTTTCAATATTAAAACCAAGTTTTATTTCAGTCTGTTAAATTGGAGGCATACAATGACCCAGACACATCCCTTTAAAATCCTTTCCTTGAGATGCCAGAACTTAGATATGAGGGATGAACAAAGAGTCTGGCAAACATGAAAACAGTGTGTGCAAAGGGCCTGTGGCTGGAGAGAGCCTATGATATACCCCAGTAGCAGCACATCCTGAATGTGGGACTTCTTTGCTTTTATCATCTGGCAAGTTTGACATAAGTGCAGTTTTATAGATGACTCCACCTGCTCCTATTGTGATATCGGCATACTTCAATTAATAAAAGAAGTATTTAAATGTGGAAAAAAATAAACGAACTCAATAACAATAAAAAAATAATAAAGTAAAATAAGATAAAATCCTTTCATTGCGGGGCGCCTGGGTGGTTCAGCCGGTTGGGCGTCCGACTTAGGCTCAGGTCATGATCTCCCGGTTTGTGACTTTGAGCCCCACGTAGGGCTCTGTGCTGACAGCTCAGAGCCTGGAGCCTGGCTTTGGGATCTCTCTGCCACTCCCATGCTCATGCTCTGTCTCTCTGTCTCTCTCTCAAAAAATAAACATTAAAAAATTTTTTTTAATAAAATAAAATAAATAAAAAATAAAATATAAATATATAAAAATAAATATATAAATATATATAAATATATAAATATAAAAAATATATAAAAATATAAAATAATAAAATAAAATAAAATAAAATCATTTCCTTGCAAAAAAGCAAACGATGGCATAAAAGGAGTATTTCTGAGGTTTGTTCAGAGTAACATAGAGCAGGACCTTCGGAAAGGTAGGCAAGGAACCTGAGCCAGGATGCGCCAGAGCTGAGGTGGTTGTTTATCATTATCATTATTATTATTGTAAGAAAACACATAATAGGAAATTGCTCCCTTAAGTGTACATTACACTATTGTCAACTCTATGCATACGGTACAGCAAATCTTTGCTTTTCCATCTTGCGTGACTGAAACGCTATACCCATTCCACAGCAACTCCTCCTCTCGCTCCTCCCTCCAGCCCCTGAAACCACCATACTGCTTTCTGCTTCCATGAACATGATTTCTTCAGATACCTCCTGTGAGTGTTATCATTGCAGTATTTGTCTATGACTGGCTAATTGCACTTAGCATACTGTCCTCAAGGTTCATCGTGTTTAGCCTGTGACAGAATTTCCTTTTTTAAAAATTTTTTTTTCATGTTTATTTATTTTTGAGAGAGAGACAGAGACACAGTGTGAGTGGGGGAGGAGCAGAGAGGGAGACACAGAATCCGAAGCAAGCTCCAGGCTCTGAGCTGTCAGCACAGAGCCCGATGCGGGGCTCCAACTCATGGGCCGTGAGATCATGACCTGAGCCAAAGTCGGAGGCTCAACCGACTGAGCCACCCAGGCGCCCCAGAATTTCCTTCTTTTTGAAAGGATGAATAATATCCCATTGTATGTAGTACATACCACATTTTCTTTATCTGCTTATCTGTCTATGGGCATTTAGGCTGTTTTCACTTCTTGGCTATTGTGAATAACATTCCTTTTGAATAGCAGGCTGCTTCTTTGGGGACACCTTCTGTCTCCAAAGCTATTAACTATAGGATTTGGGAGGTGGGGGGGGGGGGAGGGATAGTTTTCTTTTTCTCTTTCTGCTGAGTTTGCTTTTTGCTGTTTACTTAGTTTTATTTCTATTCTTCATGTTAAAAACTTTACTCAAACATCTGAGAATACTTGGGCTGTTCACTGACCACTGAAAGGTTGAACTCTGTGCGCTGTGGTGAAGGTAGGGAGGACCTTGACCATGGATGTGTAGGGTTTAGGGCAAGGATCTGTACGATGATTCAGGGAAGACTTGGGTTTCTTTTTTCACTTTTGCCTCCAGAAACCCCAACTGTTATTATCTTCATACCCTTTCTTTGGGGCCATTCATTTCCTTCATAGAGAATGTCCTAGTCTCCGACCTGAGGGCTCTATGCAGGTGTCCACCTCCTGGGAGTGGGGAACGAAGGGCGAGGCTGAGAGCTTCCTGGCTCAGATGGCAGCATTCCCTGTTAGAAGAGCATTTCGCCCCTCGCCTCTCTGCTGTGACCGTGGCCCCTCTTGGCCCTCTTCTCCAACAGGAAGTCCCCTACTTGAGTGCTGACGGGTGGCCGCTGCTTGCTGCTCCGATGGAGAGTGACCTGGGATCGAATTTCTCCTTAAACAGAATTTCAACCAAACCCCTTGTTTTTCACCTCATCTCCACCACCCCCTCCCATCCTTCATAGTTCTGGGGTTGCTAGTTCTCCACCCTCCAGTGGGCACTTGCTGGTCAGTTCTCTGTTCCTCTATTTCCTCTCTTTTCCATCCTGCCCAATCTGATGGCATTTCTCATTTGTTGTGGGCCATTTTCCAAGTCTCTGCCCTTTTTGATGCATGCATACATTTTTTCTTTCTTTTTTTAAGAATGTTTATATATTTATTTTGAGAGAGAGAGCGTGAGTATGTGCAAACGAAGGAGGGGCAGAGAGAAAGGGAAGAGAGAGAGTCCCAAGCAGGCTCCACTCTGTCAGTGCAGAGCCGGATGCGGGGCTCAAACTCACAACCCTGGGATCTTGACCTAAGCCAAAATCAAGAGTTGGACGTTTAACCGACTGAGCCACCCAGGCGCCCCGCATACATTTTTTCTGTTACTCTCATTTTACTGCATTTTCAGAAGGAAGCAGAGATAAACATTCATGTTCAATTCACTGTGTTTCATTGGAAGGTCGCTCTGTCCACCTCTTTAGCGCACAGGCGTTTCTGCATTACACTCGGTCTCTAATCCATTGTTACTTGCCTGCCTTCCCCGTAGACTGTGGTTTTTCTGAAGGCAGCGGTCTCCTTTGCCTCGCCAGCCCCTAGCATAGAGGGCATGCAGTCATTATTTACTCAACTGGAATAAATAAATATTTATTTAGTTGGTGCTGCCCATTGGAAAGCTGGAAAATAAAGTAAATGACCACATAAAGCCTCACCATCCTCCCATCCTCTATTAAAGATGGTCCTGATGAAGGAAGTTTTTCCAGATTGAAGCAGAAATAGCAAAATCCTCATACAGTGCCTTGTTTACAGTATATACAGATTTTCTGTCTTGTTCAGAGAAGTGCTTATTTTACTTACAAGTAATTGCTTTTCAAAGGCTGGCAATTCTCATTAGTTACCAGGTGAGTGAATCTAATAAGAAAAGTCTCCTGACTGAGCTAGGAAAAGCAATGGAACAAAATGTATAGTGGGGATTTTTTCCCACCTTGCAAACCAAATAGCTCCTGTGCTACCCGTAATTGAAAGAAAATTGACATGTATTATCTAAGATGCATTTTTTTTTCCGTGTGCGCAAAGAGAACTGGGCACGAAGGGGAGAGACGTTTGAGGCCCAGAAAAGGGCTGTGCTGAGGAGAGCATTCGCCTCTTACAGAGATGTGATGGGGCATCATCGCAATGCTTCTGGGGGACATTTCTGAAAGGGCCAGTATGAGTCTCCTAGGACTGTTGTAACAGATCACCACAGACAGGGTGGCTTAAAACAACAGGCTTGTTCTCTCACAGTTCAGGAGGCCAGAAGTCTGGAATCAGTCCCCAGGGTTGCCTTCTTCTAAAGGCTCTGAGGGAGAATCCATGCCATGCCTTCTTCCCAGCTTCTGGAAGTGGCTGGCAGTCCACTCGGGGTCCAACTGGCATTGCTTGGCCAGCAGCTGTATCACTCCCATCTCTGCCTCTGTGGGCGGATAGTCTTCTTCCCCCTGTGCGCGACCCCAGATCTCTCTTTCCTTGTAAGAAGATGGGCTTTAGGGTCCATCCTAATCCAGCATGACCTCAGCTTACCTTGATTATATCTGCAAAGACCCTAACGAGATCATATTCTAAGGTTTCAGGTTGACATGAATCTTTTGAAGACCCGATTCAGTCCAGAAAATGGCCCCAAACCCGTATCCTCCTGTCTCCTACTTCTAGTTATAATTTTGGAGACTACTTTTGTAGCAGAGTACTTTCAGACAGCTGATGTGGGAGAAGACACAGAGAAGGTGCCTGGAAGATGAAGAAAATGAACGTTACAGGTGAGGCTCCCACCCTTGGGCAGAGGCTCTTAACCTTGGTTGCACACCAGACTCGCTCTGCCTTTGTACTCCTGCTGCCATGCATCAGGTGTTTTTGTTTGTTTTTTAAACATTTGTTTGTTTTTGAGACCCACACACACGGAGTGTGAGCGAGGGAGGGACAGAGAGAGAGAGGGAGACACAGAATCTGAAGCAGGCTCCTGGCTCTGAGCGGTCAGCACAGAGCCCCATGTGGGGCTCGAACCCGTGAACTGTGAGATCATGACCTGAGCTGAAGTCTGATGCTTAACCGACTGAGCCACCCAGGCGCCCCCCGCCTCAGTTGTTTTTAAAGCATCTGAGGTGGTTCCATTGTGCAACCCAGATGCAGACCTCAGCTTCAGGCACTGTCCCCAAAACACCTGCGGTAAGGCCGCCTTACTGAGCCCTGATGGCCTCTGTGGAAGCGGGTCTCGCACACGTGTGCTCTTGCCGACTGCTGAGCAGTTAGCACCGGCACGTGTGGATTTTATTTCTCTTTCATTTGCTTTGAAGGAGAACAGCTTCATCTGTACCGAACACTCAAAAGTTAATAAGGAAAAAGAACATTTGTAGGGGGATGTGGCTAAGAGGGAGGTTAATATTTAATTTTATTTTTCAGAAATAATTTTTTGTACTTCTCCAAGTAGCCTGTGCTCACAGAAATGTGAAAACCCCATAAAAGCCGGAGAAGAAAAGAAAATCACCTATAATTCTATCCCTCTGGGAAAACAATGGTGTGGTGAATATTCTAATGAATTCTTTCTATGCATGTATAAATATACAATGTGTGTTTTACAAATAAGGGATTATGTGATTTGGGGGTTTGAGTTCTTCATTTAGCAATATAATGTTAAATATACATCAATAAATACATAGCAATAAATATTTCCCATTAAGTAGCCCTCAGATTTTGAATGGCTACATTTTATTCCTTTGTGAAGAGAATAGACCATCATTATTTAACCAATTACTACAAGAGAATTTCAAGTGGAACTTTTCCTATTGTCTGATTCATGGTGCAAGACCCAGTGCTGAGAAGCAGAAGCCCTATCTCTCCATCCTCAAGCGGGCTCCCAGACTCACCCCCACAGTGCTCCACTAACCTCCATGCCACCCCCCACCCAGTTTCTTTAAACCCAGGATGTGGGAATTGGAGGAGGCATTGGATAGGGAGTTCCTGGCCTAGGGCAGAGTGCTCCCCTGGCCCCAAAGCCAGGTGGATCATAGGATTTGGGAACGTCTGTGTCTGCAGGGAGAAACAGGCACCCTACTTCTGAACACGTGCTTAGAGTGCAATTGCTGATCTGCTCCTTGTCTGACTGAGCAGGAGGAAAGGAACTGGTTAGACCGGAACTGCAAAGAGAGAGGGCAGCCCGCCTTGCCCCACCCCACCATCTCCTGTGATAAGGAGGCCTGAGCTGCCTGTGGCCAAGTGGATGCCATGACGGGAAGTCAGGCTGTGCGGTGTTTCAGGCACCCTGCTCGGAGGACGACTGGCTACAGGGAAAAGGGCCGGCAGCAAAAGCCTGTGGGTTTTCCAGTGGGGGCTGGAATTGAGGGAGGGGGGGATGAGGTCCAATAGAGGCACACCTCCCCCCGTGAAGGGAGGCATCCCAAATAATTTATCACATGCTTGACAAGACACTGATCACCTGGATGCCCAATATTTAGGGGACATGCAACCCAAGACAGAAGCACACCAAGTATAAAGACTTTTGCCCCACACTCTGCTCCAGTGGACCTAGAAGCAGCAGAATGAGGAGGAGGAAAGAGCATGAAGGAACAGCTCAAGCCCTCTCCCCAAGCAGCTCTCCAGGCCTTGGGGGGAGGGGAGGGCGTTGAGTTAGTGATGCGATACAGCAACCTGGTCATGTGGATCAATAATAGTAATCAATAATAAAATATGCATGTCATTTAACCCAGCAGATCCATCTTTAGGAATTAATCTTAGAAAATAAATGATCAAAGATGTGGGGAAAGTTTTATTTGTAAGAGAATTGCTGTACACAAAAAGTATCTCCCCACATCCTGAAAAGCCATAATTTTTTATGTAAAAAAAAAAAATCACCTGTTCTTTCAATAACTAAGAGTTAACAAAATTCTGAGGTCTGATATTATATACAGTGGTAATACCACAGCCCTTATAATAAACAGAACTCAGATTAAAGAAAGAGTTTTAGAAAGCTGGCATTACATAGTGTCACTGTGTTCCAGTTGCTAATGCTATGAAAAACTACCCCCAATACAGTGGTATAAACAACAGCCCTTTGAATATGCTCCCGGATTTTGTGGGTCAGGAATTTAGATAAGATACAGCAGGAATAGCATGTGTCTTATCCAGGATTCTGGAGTTTTAGCTGGGAAGTTGAATGGCTGGGGTGTCTCAAACATCTGGGGGCTGGAAACATCTGGAGGCTTCTTCACTCACGTGGCTGGCACCTGGCAAGCAATTGCCAGCTGGGCTCAGCTGGGACGGTCAACCAGGGCACCCTCGTGTGGCCCTGTTAGCTGGGGCTTCTCACAGTGTGGCAGCTACGTTCCAAGAAGGGACATCCTCAGAGCAAGATTTCCAAGAAAAAACCAGATGGAATCTGCATGATGTTTTATGATGTAGCTTTGGAGGTAAATGGTGTCACTTCCACCATACTTTATTGGTCAAAGCTATTACAAACCTGCCCATAGAAAAGGGAGGGACATGGACCCTATCATCTCTCAAAAGAAGGGGTGTTAACTTGCCATAGACAGAATTCTTCATCTTTAACAAAACTGGAGTAAAGTGTACAGTTATAGTCAATTTATGCTTCATGCCTTTTCTCGATGATTGGTATACATATGGGGTGTCTTTTCTCCAACAACAAACATGATATTCTCACACCAACCAATCATCCAATTCTCTTACACCGATTGGGTGTCCAGCAATTCAATTAAATTCTGACACTGAGTATCCAGAGTAGCACAGACCCAAGTTAAGGGCTCAGTTCCTCAAGTCTGCCCCTCACTTCAGATGCCATTTGCAACACCAGAGTCCCCAGGCTACCCACACTCCCATCCAACTTGGCTACACATTTGGGGGTTCCCATTGCTCCCTTCCAGATTTGATAGCTAGGATGACTCAGAGAACTTGGAAAAGCACTTTGCTAATGATTTCTGGTTTATTATAAAGGATACAATTCAGGAAAAACCGAATGGAAGAGAGGCATAGGGCAAGGTATCAGCGGTGTGGAGATGCAGAACTTCCATACGGTCTCTGTGCGTACCGTCTTCCTAGCACTTCAACGTGTTCTACAACATGGAAGTTCCTCCTCATTGTTCCAGTTTTAATCAAGACTTCCCTACCTAGACTTGACTGATTAAATCGTTGGCCATTGGTGAATGAACTCAATCTCCAGATTCTTTCCCCTCTATAGGCACTAGACCTCATGGGACTAAAAGTTCCAACTCTCTAATCACATGGTTGCTATTCTGGCCACCAGCCCCCATGCTGAAGCCTTCTAGGCCCCACTTTGAGTCAGGTCATTAGTAGGCAAGATATTCCTATTACTCAGGAAATGCCCAGGGTTTTAGGAACTGTGTGCTAGGAACCAGAGAAAAGCAAATATATAGCACAACATAATATGCCCAGCTATTATGGAAACTCCAAAATCTACTGGAAATCTAAAAAGGAAGATGGTACGGTGGTTGCTTTGAGGATCTCTGAATGTAATGGAGCGGACAGGAACAAAACAGATTTCTGCAAATGCTGTGAAATACGCGCCCACCTGGACTCAAAGGAAGAGTGACTAACTGTAGGCTGGGAAGCAGGTGCTTTTCAAATTGTTTTCCACTAAGGAAGAAAGTATTTACTTGTTAATATTCCCCTGACTGTTCAGAACTCAGTCATAGGATTTTATCATCAACACATTACTTATAAAGTCACTGCTTTTCCTACAACTATAAGAGTACAATGCATTTCCAAGTCAAACGATTGAAAATCGGATAGGGAGGAATAGAACACTCAACAAATAGAAATGATCTCTATATACAATGTTCTTTAAAATAGCCAGTAAAAATGCAGAAAGGCTCTTGATGTGAAGATAGTTGGGTTGTGTATTTTGTGCACGTGGTCTGTGTGTAGTTGAGCATTGCACCCAGAAACTCCACGCAGTAGTACAAAGGAAGGCTTGTACCCACAGGTCTAACTTTCAAGAAGATATAAATCAAGCTAATAAACTGCCCAATATATGTTCTATCCTCCTATTTTGACAAATATATCTTCATAACTACTTGAACGCACCAGGTTCAAGTTTAGGATACTCTTTTGTACAACAAAGTAGAATAGAAATTAGTGACCCTACCCTCAGTTTCTCTGTTCTTATTTGTGATGCGCCTTTCCAAGAAATTGTTCCATATCTTTGTCAGACAGCCTACATCTGGCCTTTCAATTTACTTTGAAGATCAGCCAGTGAGAACCTAGGGACATGGTGGGTTAGATTATACCCCATAAGACCGGGAAAGAGGAGCCCATCTTAGTCTCTGATCTTTAGAGGGCCTACCTCTGGTCTTCCTTCTATGCTTCTCCCTGTGGACAGGAATCCACTGAGTCAGAGGGATGTGCTAACTCAGAGCCTGAGAGCCCTCTTTTTCTGGACCAGGCACCAGGTACCCAGTAGCCAGCATTCTCTATCTGCTATGGACTCAATGTTTGAGTCCCTGCACCCAAACTCACACATTGAAAGCCTAGTCCCCAGTATGGTAGTACCCAGTATTGGGAGGTAATTGATTGGAGGGAGGGAGCCGTTATGATGGAATCAGTACTCTTATAAGAGACATGATGGAGATGATCTCTTTCTCTACCATGTAAGGACACAGCAAGAAGGTGGCCATCTATAAAGCAGAAAGAGGGCCCTCATAAGAGATGAATCACCTGGCACCTTGATCTTGGAATTCCCAGCCTCAGAAGTGTGAAAAATAAATGTCTGTTTTTGAAGCCATTCTGTCTATGGTATTCTGTCAGAACAGCCCAAGCAGACTAACTGGGGACTACTCCAGTGTCCCTGAGATCGCTGCTGGGCCCTGAGCGGGCCTCGTCCTCAGGCCATCAGCCATGACTGACTGCTACAGTGGCACCTGTATCCCTGGGTCTGAGGGTAGCCAAAGGTGGCTGTTTGCACAGGTGTGGACATGCAGGTTGGGGCGTCCACTTATGTGGGAGATGAAGTCAAGCATGGGACAACAAGGATGGCAGGAGGGGCGGGTGCCACAGGCCAGCCCTTGCTATCCTACCACGTTAAAAAATCACAAAACTGTACTTAATGGCAACATAAAACTGTCCAACAGGGAAAGAAGGAAAAACACCTCTGTGACATAAATAAATATGGCTCCTGCAGAGGGATTACAGCCCATATCACCAGTTGAGACAGAGAATATTTTTAAGATACGTGTTGTAGTAACAGGACAGAGGGGGGATTCAAAGTGCTAAATGGGCAGACTATTTTTGGAAAAGAACTTGAAGGGAGCACTGAAATGGAAGAATAAGCCCTCTGCCATAGCAAAAACTGGCCTAAAAGTAATACGAAAAATGGTACAGTCAAAAAAAAAAAAAAATTAGGGGCACTTGGGTGGCTCAGTTGGTTAAGCGTCTAACTCTTGATTTCGGCTCAGGTCATAATCTCACAGTTCGGGAGTTCGAGACCCACATCAGGCTCTGCACTGATGGTGTGGAGCCTGCTTGGGATCCTTGCTCTCTCCCTCTATCTCTTCCCCTCCCCTGCTCATGCTCTCTCTCTCTCTCAAAATAAATAAAATAAACCTTAAAATTTTTTTAAAAAGAAGAAAGTGAACTTTTTGCTCTTCTCCACCCCCTTCAGGTATTGCTTGGATTGCCAGGTGGGTCTCCCATGTGCTCATGATCCCAGCCCTTGCACTCACCCAGCCACAAGCCCAATCTTGCCTGAAGGTTTGTTGAGAGACGCTACAGTTTGGGCATGGTGGTTAAGAGCTCAGGATCCAGGGCTGAAATGTCTGGTTTAAATCCTGGTTCCTCTACTTAGAAGCAAATTACTTTTCTCTGGGCTTCAGTTCCTCTTACATCAATGGGATGGTAACATTATTTATTTCAGAGGATTGTTGTGACAATTAATTGAGTTCTCACACATCAAATGTTCAGATCAGCTTTTGGTACATAGTAGGTGCTCAATATATACTTGTATTTTCACCGTTAGAGACGGCTGATTCTCAAAGATCGCAGGGCTCTCATGAAAGAGGCAGAGAGTGTTTATATCTCTGCAAAGTGTTTATTTGTGTTTGTATCTGTAGTGCCTAGCACCCACCTGACACAGGATAGGCGCGTGTTTGGTGAACAAATGAATTAATGAATAAATAAGTAAAGCAAACAAGAGCCCCGGCTGGATGGAGGAAAGCTGCTAACAGGGAAAACAACCAGAGTGGCACCACCAGAAAGACTCAAAGTCATTGGGTGGGCCCTGGGAGAGGAGAGGAGGGGCCAACAGGAAGTGCAGAACTCTGCTCAGGTCACCCCCTACATCAGTAAATCTCCCAGCCATACACCCAACGTAAAGCCAACTTGCATCAGACTCACATTCGGCTCCACTGTGATTGGCTCCTATTCTCTGTGCAGCCCTGTCCTCAAAGGGCAGAATCTAATGCTTTTCCTGGGGGGAGGACAACAGTTAGGCAGGGCCTGGGTTGGGACCTTGGGAAGGGATGCTACAGTTATTGAGGACTTTGAGTTCCTTGTACACTCAGTTGTATGGAAGTTTCACTCTACTTCTGGGCTTTATGTGACAATACAGACCGAAAAAAAGTTTTCCATGGACCCAGCATTTGGACAGCTGGAGCTTTCAGACCCTACTTGCATGTATGGCAAAATTTCACTGCACATATAGTTCCTGTTCCGCCCAGGGATATGTTTACCATCATGTCTAGGGGTCGGTGATCTGGGTGACAAGCTGTGGTTCCTGAGAGTATCAGCATTAGTCCAGGCTCCACAAGACCCCACCCTTCTCCCTTTCCTCTCTTCCTCTTGCCTTTCTCTTTCACCACCTACCTGCTATAACTGTACAGCCTTCATTTCCTCATCTTCCCTGCTGGGAGGTGGGGGACTGGACCACACATCTGGAAACACTGTCCTGGATCTAGAAAACAGAGATATGCTCCTGGGGAGAAGCAGCTGGCAGCTTGGGTGCTCAGGAAAAGCAAGCGGCAGTCATCATGTGTGAACGTCATTGTCCTCCTTATCCCTTGGTTCCCACACTGCATCATTCATTGAAAAACATTAAAACTCATCATCTTCCCCGGAATGAGGCTATAGACTTGCATTACAAGCATCAGGAAAAGCAATGACATTTTAACTCAAATAGATTTTTTTTTTCCTAAAGGAGTCTTACCTCATTTGATCTAATGCCGTAAAGTAACAGTTGAAATTTTCTTTCCCAGTGAAGCCAGGGTTGGAAAGTCATTACATAAGTCTTAGATGCCCTGGGAGCAGTTTCATGCCAGAGTCAAACACCAAATTTTGGGAGCTACCTTCTACTGTGGTTGTTTTGCTTTGCTTCCTCTTGCTAATGGCTTTGACCCAATAAGCATTCCCCTCGGCTTTGTCCCAAACAGAACTCGACAATCTCACCAAGTTCATCTCAAAACGGATTCACCCACAGCTCCTCTAATCAGAGGCAGGCATAATCTGATTTTCAAATGAAAGATTTAGTGAAGCACACGTGAAGTCTGAGCTTGGTGTGCTTTGGCAGAATGTGGGTAGGTGCTAGCAATATTCCCAGTCTCTCTTTTACCTTCCTTTCCACAGAAGAGTGTCCAAAAGGCCATAGACACTTGCTTCTTGAGGCCACTTAATCTGGTGTGGGAACGTCAGGCTTGGCAAGATTTGCACTGGTAAAACAGCTAGATGCTTTGCAGGAAGGCAGCCTTGCCCTGAGGTTCCAAACTTTTCAGTTGGTAGCCATCATGTGGGAAAAACTAGTTGGTACAACACAGTGCTAGTTAAAAAGATAGATTTACATCAACTGAGCTCTGGAGCAGAGCCAGCTTCATGGGTGTGGGACCTGTGCAAGCACCCAGAGCCCGACTCTTACGAGGGCCCCGGGCTAGGTCTAATGTGCTATTGTCTCTGCCTGGAAATTCTTACTAATTTTGCACTGGGTAAGTTACAGAACCAATTCTGCTCTGGAATCAGAACTTGTTTGAACTCTGATCTACACTTCTTGTTATTACTATTACCCTTCTTACTATTTGTGCAACTATTACTACTGCTAGCTATTATTTACTGAGCACTGTTTTCCAGTGCTTTCCAGATGTCACTTTAATGCTGTGCTAGTTACCATTAGTGCCTTCATTTCACAGATGATAACAGTGAGGTACAGGAAAGCTAAGTAACTTTCTAAACTTGTGTATGATCCCACACAGTTTAATTTCAGAGCCTGTCCTCTTAGCCACTATACTATTAAGTCTTGCTCATTTTGTGAATTTGGGTAAGTTACTTAAGCCTCTCTAAACCCAAGATTTCCTAACTGTAAAACAGGTATATTCTATGGTGGTGAGAACGGAACAATCCACTCCCACACTCAGCCCACACACCCAGAACTGAAACCACCCTTACTGTCTAGTTAACGTAAGTCTGCTGTATTCATTGCCAAATCTTGAGCATGTCTTCGTTAGCATGACTTTACTTTTTAAGGACCCTCCTGCTCAGGCAAAGTTTGATAGCGCATTACAGGAACTTCCTGTAAGACTCATCAAGTCTTCAGTGGAAAGCATCAACGGAAAAGATCCTTTGAAGCCCTCTTCTCCAGATTCTCACCTTGCTGTTTCCACCAATCCTGGGCTATCATATCATGATTCTTACCCAGTCCTAATCAGCTCCTACATTGTAAGACCCATCTTAAGCCAAATTTCTAATTCTCAATAAATTCTGACCTTACCTTTGCCTCATCTGAGACACCACCAATGTGGAGTTAGTGTTCTCTCCTACTGTGTTAAAGATAAATTCAGCTTCATTTTATCAACAGATACTCTTGAGGGTCTTTGGGGAGGCAGCTTGTGATGGTACAGATCTTGGACCACAAACTCAAGTGTGTATGGAATAGATCTCTTTGCTTCCCTGTAACTCCATTTCTATATATGGTCCCCATATCCCTTTGAGTTGATGAAAACTTGCTTTCCAACACTTTGTGTTGTAAGGGAGGAATGACTTCCTCTACCCTCTTAAGTTCTGTGACTGGACCTGAGAATTAAACTGACAAAAGACAGATTAACAGGAGAAAAGCACACTAGTTTTATTTGATGTTAATATTTTTATATGTCCATGGCGGCCTTCATGTACAAGAAATGAAGACCTAAAAGAAGTAAGTAGGCCTAAGAGCTTCTATACCATTTTAACAAAGAACAACACTTTGTGGAGCTGACAAGACAAGGGAAAAAGACAAGGGCTGGGGCGGGAAATTGTGCGAAAATGACTTGGAAACATATGGGGAAATTAATGGAAGATTAAGGTTATTTAAGTGGGCTTGTTTATGCAAATTCATCTCTGCTTTGACTCCCCATTTTCCAATGATAAGAATGTTCTTCCCTTCCTAATACCAGGAGGTCACTCACCAGGAGTGAGTGTTCTTCCCTTCCTAATACCAGGAGGTCACTCACCTCACCAGGAGGTCCAGGAAGTCAGGAAATTTATGCCCTGCTTTTAGGTACAAATGGGGAGGTCAGAGAGCCGTTCCTGCCTCTGATGTTTCTCAGCTGTCTTCAGGTCAAAATTACCAGTATGCCAAAGTGGCATATTTTGGGCTGGCAAGTTCTGATCCCTTCCAGTGTCTTTGCCCAATCATATTTTCCAGAATTGTGTCCTTGCCCACATTTTACTGGGGAACATGTGGGTCAATGTGCTGGGGAAGGTCCTACTTGGTTTTCAATGTGCTAGAACATCTGTCACACCCTCTGTGATCAGCCATTGGTTGGCACAAGTCACCGCTAAGACTCTCCCATTCCTTCCTGCAAGCTGTCCACATCCATTGGCAGTTTGTGACTTCTAAGTCTCTCTTAACTTGGGACTTGCTAGAACAGAGTTCAGGAATCTCCCTGGGGAAGTCAAAAGGCCAATCTGCCTAAGCAGACCATGTAGCCATTTCCCTTCTAGGCCTTCTATCGAGGACACTCCATATGCATCCCATCAGCCTTTTCCTTCCAGGTCCTGGTAGCCTACTGCAGGGAAGAAAGTGAGCCCTGGCTGAGCCCACACTCACGGAGACTCAGAATTCCCACCTTTGTTCCTTCTTGTGTCCAAGATAACTCCTCCTGAGCCCACATTGGCCTCCTGTGGGCTCTTTATGGGTATGGCCCACCACGAGACTCTTGGTTTTCCTACCAGCAAAGCCAAAGAAGCATGTTTGCATCACCTCCAGCTAGGAGCTACCATCCTGATGACTGCTGGATACTGAAATATAAAATGTTTCTACCTTTTCTCAGCACAATGGTTCTCCCCTGGGACTAAGATTTTGTTGCTAGTCTCTAATCTTGGGAATCCAGAAGGGGTTTGTGCTGTGTGAGCAGCACAGCCAAGGATTCTTAGTTGTGCCTCAGTTCTGAGAGGTTTACATGTTGCCAAGCATTTGGTGGGGCTGCAGCAGAGAGCAGCATTTGGTCTTCTCACCACATGGCCTCTGACCACAAGGACTTTTTCTGAACAACCCTGTCTTACCTTGGTCATCTGCCCTCACAGGTGACCATTTCTTTCCAGCTCTTCCCATCTATGCCATGCTCGAGGGTAGAGGAATTGAATTGTCCTGCTAATTCCAGAGCATGCTAAGTTCTAGAATCTGAGGGGCTGCCCAAAGCCCTATCTACCACCATGCAGCCATCTGTCTCTGAAATCTTACCCCCAAAGCTCTCAGGAAGCACAGATCCTTGGTTCTGGAATCCTCTAACTCACCGTTAGGATCTCAGACTTTCCTCAGCCCTGGAAAAAGAACGCTGGGCCCTGTTCTGGTTATTTCTGCATAACAAATTACCCCAAAACTTAGTGCCTTAAAGAAGCCATTGTATTATGTTCATGAGTCTATATAGGGACACCTTACCTCTCTCTGCTCTGATGTCTGAGGCCTCCCAACTTGACACCTGGGAGCTGGAATCATCTGGAGGTTTCTTCCCTCACATGTGTGGTTGTGGATGGCAGCGGGGACCTCAGCTGGGGCTGCTGGCCAGAACACATCTCCATGGCACCTCCCTGTGATCTGGGCTTCCTCACAGCATGGCTGCTCAGGGCTCCACAGGTAAGTATCTTGCCTCCCAAACAGAACCTCATGGCCTTTTAAGATGACTCTTAAAGATTTTTTTTTTTCAACGTTTATTTATTTTTGGGACAGAGAGAGACAGAGCATGAACGGGGGAGGGGCAGAGAGAGAGGGAGACACAGAATGGGAAACAGGCTCCAGGCTCTGAGCCATCAGCCCAGAGCCTGACGTGGGGCTCGAACTCACGGACCGCGAGATCGTGACCTGGCTGAAGCCGGACGCCCAACCGACTGCGCCACCCAGGCGCCCCTAAGATGACTCTTAGAACCCCCATAATGCTACTGCCGTCGCAGCCTCCAGCTTGCCTAGACTCAAGGAGAGGGGACATAGACCCCATTTGTCTTTTTTTTTTTAATTTTTTTTAATGTTTATTTTTGAGACAGAGAGAGACAGAGCATGAACAGGGGAGGGGCAGAGAGAGAGGGAGACACAGAATCGGAAGCAGGCTCCAGGTTCTGAGCAATCAGCCCAGAGCCTGACGTGGGGCTCGAACTCATGAACCGTGAGATCGTGACCTGAGCTGAAGTCGGACGCTCAACCGACTGAGCCACCCAGGTGCCCCGACCCCATTTGTCTTTGAGAAGACTGTCACGGTTACATTGTAGGGAAAGCATGTGGGATGGGGGAAATTGTTGTGACCATCTTTGGAAACTGTAACCTGCCACAGCCCCTCCAGGACCTTCCAAGTTATCTTCTTGTTTCTCCATCATCTTTTTCTAGTATGTGGAGGGTGAGGGGGTGGGAGAAGGGTGCAAAGAGGATTCCTCTTTTTTTTTAATCCTCAAACATTTTGGTGATTCTAGTAGTCCTCTCTTTTTGCTTCTGTCACTGGCTCATGGAAACCAACACAGAAATGCTCCTCTTGTTCCCTTTGCAATCAATGGCTGTGGTCCCTAAGTGACCTGGCTGTGAGGAGAGAGAGAGAGAGAGAGAGAGAGAAAGAGTACAAGAGAGTATCTCCGCAGAGATTCTCCCACCACAAGGAAAATAAAAAGGATCTCAGAGACTTGTAAGAAATTTAAGTGAGAACACACGCAAGGCCCTGGCAATCAAACTTGAACTTGAA